AGTCTGATACAACGATCTGGTTGTCCATCTGCAATCCACACAGAACCGGAGAGAAAAAAAAAGATTAAATATTTCCCAGGAGTTTTGTTGATAGTTTCATGTTGATGAGGAAATTATCTAAAGGTTTGGGCAAACATAGGTTTGCACACACAAAAAATAAAAGATGAGTGTAGATGTATGTATTTATATATATATTTATATATATATATATATTTATTAGGGATGCACGATATTGGGATTTTGGCCGATATGCCGATATTTTATAACTCATGTAGCCGATAACCGATATCGATACTGATGTTAAAGCTGGACAAAAATAAGTAGTCATTGAAAATAGCAATTTTGTTATCCATTCCTGACACTTTAAAAAATAATATACTCAAATATATTTTCATATGCTGATATCAAATTGATTCTTAAAAACGCGGTATCGATCTATTTTACTTTCAAAATCTCGTGAAATTTCATCGTTCTGTTACAAACTCTCGTGATATTTTGCAAATTCTTGTGAGATTTTGTTAGTAAAATAGATCGATACCGCGTCAATATATCAACATATAAAAATATGGCAAAATTTTGTAAATTTTCGGGGGATTTCGTAGCATAACGATGACATATAGCAATATTTCATTAGTAAAAGAGATTGATATGGTGTTTTTAAATGGCAATATATCAGCATATGAAGATATTGGGATATTTTAATGTATCAATATTTTTTCCCTCGTCTTTAGAAGTTTTTAAGTCTTTAAAAAAGACGTTTTTGAGGAAGAAGAAGAAGTATTTTATTATTATTATTTTTTTTTTAGACTTCAGAAACTCAGAAGCTGATCAAATATCGGGTTAAATATCGGTGGGGTGGCCGATGTCCAATATTCAGTTTTAATGCCGATACCGATAGGGGGCCGATTATATCGTGCATCCCTAATATACATATACATATATACACATATACATATATATACACACACATATATATATATATATATATATAAATAAATAAAGGGAAAAAAATTTCTTTACATCAGTTTTGGGAGGGGAGAGACAAAACTGGATGAGGCCAATTTTAGCCTTCTCCACACGGGTCACGCCGGAGTTGGCCACCCTCTGAGTGAGTACCAGTCCCTCCACCAGCTCACAGTCATCAATGGTTCCTCTGGGAACAAAAACATACAATAAACAAACAGCTGCCACAAGCAAAACTGTTTAGAATAAGAGAAGAGAAATGAGGCACACTCACCCAAGCTTCTTGGTGATCTTAATGTCATGCAGGTCAACCCCGGTGGCTGTGGCCGGGTCGATGACGCGCATCACTGCGTCCACGCTCATGGGCGCCAGCAAGCTGGAGTACTGCGACACCACCTTAGAGCACAGCGATGTTGTGGCGCTGTTGAGAAGCGTCTCGCGGTCGCTCAGCTCCACCGGGCGGCTCATGGCGGTCAGCACCTCCACGCCTTTATCCACGGCCTTCTGGAACGACTCCGAGATGATGGTGGGGTGGATACCTGACCAATCACAGAGCAGAAAACACAAAGCTGAAACCAAACATCTCAAAACAGTTCGGAGAGCAAAGACGCAGATAAAAGTTTTACAAAACAAGTTTCTATGACACATAGGAAAAAAAATCCAAACAGAGTAATTGCTGCTGGTCTTACCTTTCTGCAGCAGTTTGGAGCAGGCATCCAGCAGCGCACCAGCAATCACCACCACAGAGGTGGTGCCATCACCGGCTTCTATGTCCTGGGCTTTGGACAGCTCCACCAGCTGAAACACAGATCGGAAGAAAACGTCACCAACTCTGTCGCCTCATCGGGAAAAAAAAAGAAAAAAGGAAAGAAACAGGGCAAAGTAGCAGTCTCACCATTTTGGCAGCAGGGTGCAGCACCTGCATCTGCTTCAGGATGGTGGCTCCATCATTGGTGATGGTCACGTCACCTTTCTCATCCTGGATCTGGAACCCAACACAGCCTCAGCTCAATCATTTGGTTAAATAAGGACAGGAGGTAAAGAAACGTTCTCCCACTAACCATCTTGTCCATTCCTTTGGGGCCCAGACTGGTTCTGATGGCGTCTGCAACAGCTGTCAATCAAACACAGGATTAGTCAGATTGGGAAAAACACAACAACAACATGACGGGAATTTCACCTCTACAGCAGAAAGACGGGATGAATAAGAAAAGTAGATAGTTTGATCATTTTATCACCACGAGACATTGTTTATGTTAAAAGACTAAAGGGCACAAATAAGGACAATGTGATAAGAGGCCATTTTGGTTAAAAAAAACCCATATAATTAAGTCATATAATTGCTCTATAAAGAGGAAAATACTGAAATCTAGATCTTTGTACTTATAAACCTAACATTAGCCCAATAATCAAGATTTAGAAAAGACCCATTAGAATAATAATATTATATATTATGAACCAACTAATTAATTCTTTGCAGATTAATTCTCTTAAAAATTCATGGATATTATATATACAGAAATACTAAAGGTACTTTTTAGAGTAATGAACAGTTTCCTCTGTTTGTTTACAAGATTTATTTTAGTTGAGAAAAGAGGGATTGTCTATTTTTGAACCATGTAAAATGAGAACTAATATAAAAATAGACGAGTTTCTGTTTCGAAGGTTAGGCTTTGGAATGACCCTGATGCTGAATTGAAATTATTTAGTTACTGTCATAAAAAAATAATCTAGTGTAAATTAATGTTTATGTTTCCAGCTGTAATGGAAGGTAATCAAAGAACATAAGTGTGACATATATATAGATATATACACACACATTAACAATATTCTTGTTTTTTTTTGTTGTTAACGCAAAGGCATTTACAAGCTGGAGGCTTCAGCTTCAATTCCTTTTTCAGATGACAGTTAAAATTATTCAATACAAATTAATCTTTCATGGTTAGAAGATGTATTCGTGTATGCATGTATGTGAGATTTAAAAAAGTTCATTTACTTCCCCTATTTAGGATTCAATGTTAAAAAGAAAGAACAGCTTTTAAATTCTTGGGTTTTAATTGATCCATGATGTAGTTTTGACTGGATTCTAAAATCATCCAATCTAATTGCAATTCAACAAAAGTCAAATAACAGATTCTGCAGTTCTCCTTTTTTAATTTTTTAAATCAAAACTGAAATGAGAGTGGTGAAAGTTTTGACATCTAAAAACTCTTAGACTCATGCATAATACATTAAATGAAGCTCAGGTTCTGTCTTTTGATTCCAATTACTTCTAGTATTCTAGTTTTATATTGTTAAAACACTTTACAGTACATTATTATTAACTCCAATATCAGGTGTTCTCGAACATTGAAGTTGTCTTGGAGCTCGTCTGCCTGGCTGTGTGTTTCCTAGACGGGGCCGCCTTTTACAGCTGCTTTTTCTATCTCTGCTTCTGTCTCCTTGAACCCCAGTGGGCCTCAGCAGATGGCCGCTCACACTGAGCCTGGTTCTGCTGGAGGTTTCTTCCTGTTAAAAGGGAGTTTTTCCTCTCCACTGTCACTACAAGCATGCTTAGGCCCCGTCCACACGAAGACTAACCCTGGCCTAAACGCACAAATTTTTCACCAAACCAGCCTCTCATCCATACGAAGCCGGCGTTTCGGGGGTCTGTAAACGATCTTTTTTTTATTCAGCCTTCAGAGTGGGAAGATTTCGAAACGCCGTTTTCGCGTTTCCATCTTTACGCTCTAACCGCATATTTTTTTTTACAACGCATGCGTCATAGCGTCGCCTCTACACACGCATGCGCGACACAGTATCACAACAACAATGGCGCTGTTGCTGCTAATGCTACTCACCCTGCTGTCGGGCTTACAACAGAATCTTCTTCTTCTGGAATATCTCCAGGAAGAACAGAGCAATATAGACGACATAGTTCAGCACCTGAATTTGACTTAACCACGAAAATGGACCCGCAGGGCAACCATGTATAAATATTACTGCGCATGCCCAACATTTCGTCGCTTATTTTTGCTTTGGCAACACAGCGCCACTTACAGGTCTGGCATACATTTTGCAGCGTTTTCATGCATTCGTGTGGACGCTCACATTTATTTTACGTCTCCGGCTTTACGGCAAACGTTTTGGAAAAAATCAGCGTTTCGTGTTCGTTTTGACTTCGTGTGGACGGGGCCTCAGTGTGAGGGATTGTATTTGAGTCAATGCAATCAACTGGTTTTCCTTAGATAGAAAACGTTGAATCAATCTGACTGTATGATCTGGTTGAATTGTAAATTGCCTTGAGGTGATGTGTTGTGAATTGGCACTATAAAAAATTAACTGAATTGAATTATTTTATTGTTTATCATTTAACTCTTGATTAATATATTATTCTTAAACATTAATGTGACCATTTTTTTATATAACCTTTGTGCTGCTGCATACATCAGAATTTTCCCTTTGTGTGAAAATAAAGAGATTTTTTATTTTATTCTAATTAAAATGCTAAACATAGGTTAATTTTAAGTGCCATGACTTTGAGGATTGTTTTCTGTGGCTTCTGTAATGCAGTTTTATTTTTAACTACTAAGATCACAATTCTTAAGAACCTTAAATGATTAATGTAATGAGCATTTGCAATTAGGGGCCTAAGCTTCCAAAATATTATTAAAAGTAAAATGATTAAATTGTATTTACGCCAACAAAATACAAGATTGAAAAACAAATAGTATTAAAGTATTTTTGTTTAGCCTCTCAGTTTAATGCATGTGTAGATCAGTCCTGGCCCTCTGATGCACCACAGTCCTCCAAGTGCTAAGATGATATTGACCAGTCATGGACATCAGCAGCCAAACGCCCATTATTGAATGATTCCAGAGAAGCTTCCAGACTCATACGGGATATTTTCATTGCAGTTTTTTTTATTTAACAAAGAGAGAAAAAAAATGAAGCCCGAATTAAATCTTTAAAAGAACGAAAATAACGCTGCCGAACCGGAACCGCCCCGAGCAGACCCACCATCCGCAGGTCCAGAGACCTTTAGCATTCCGGCCTACCTTTGGCAGCAGAGATGTTGCTGAAGCGGATCTGGGCCGGCTTGTCGCGGTCCACATACGCCCCTCCTTTGTTGCCCCCTTTCGGTATCGCCATGGCTTCAGGCATTTCGTCTAAATATCCGATGGGAAATATTGATATTAGGCTTTAGATGTGAATGGATGAAGGCTCGTGGCTAAAAAACCGCGGTTCGGCCTCGGATGGACTTAGATTGAGGCGTGATCCCCGGGTGCCGTTAGAAACTTCCAGAGCCACCGGCTGCCACAGAGGAAAGGAAGGACCCGGCTGTCAAGACCCCGACGCATGGAGATGACGTAATCAGGCAGTATGTGTCGAGCGGTGATTTAAAATAATGTTTTTTTGTTTTGAATATGACTTAACTTGCATAATTTTTTATATGATAATAGTTTGAATTAAAATGTGTTTTAAATTACCCACGATCGTTTAATAAAGACATATATTATCTCCTAATTCTTTTCTGGTTTGATTAGTTTGGACTGCGGGAGCAGGCATGCAGAAAGCGCCTCACTGAAAAGCAAATGCTGCTCGGCTTCTTTCTACTCTTGTCTCCAGAATAAACTCCGTATCGGGTAGGTTCATTTCAGTTTCGGGTTATTTTTATTTTATTATTTTTTTATGTGAACTTCCTTTGAGTATGCTTCCCGATTTCCACTTCCCAAAGCTTACTGTTAGCTAGTTTTCAGAGTTTTAGATGTGCTCCTACTTCTGTTACAGACCTATCAATCAAATAATCCAGGTGCAATCTGTCAGAATATAATTAACTATTTTTTTATTATGTTAACCTTTTTATTATGTTTGACGGCTCTACAAACATTTACATACTGCTGTATCAGAATTAAATACACAGTTCAACACGTATTTAACGCTAAATGCTAACCTCTCACTACTTTAATATGTTGATGTATAAACAGTATCCTTTAGGTTATGCCCCTTGTCTCAAAGTTTAATTATACACAGATTTTATGCAGTTAATATAATGAAATTAAGGCTGTAATTGTGATTTGAAAAGAAAGAAACACAAACAGCCTGAAGTGAACTGAAATGCTCAGTTAGATTGGATGGAGAACACATCTGACCAAAGAAACCAAAAACTGTGACCAAGTAAGAGTAGCTCTGCTTTAACATGTTTTTACTCAAGTAAAAAAGTATTCGATAGAAAGGGTACCTGAGTACTGGGTAAGTTTAGGATAATAACATCAGATTTAATGTTTATAAATGATGCTGGCAAACAGACTTTATAATCAAGTTCTGGCGTTTTCAAATGCCTGAAGAATACAAGTAAAGGTCATGAATTTGAAAGAACAAATTTATGCTGAAGAGATACTTTAACCATTTTTTTTTCAAAAATAAAACTTAGAAAACCGATCTTTACAGTGAGAACTGACGGGGTAACAAACTTCCAATGTTAATTCCAAAAAGGTTAAAAAACAATCCACTGGACTTTGTTTCCAGGTTTTAAGACGTTTCGCTTCAAATCCAGGAAGGAAGCCATCTATTCAATTCAATTTTCAATTCAATTCAGTTTATTTCTATAGCGCCAAATTCACAACACATGTCATCTCAAGGCACTTTACAGTTCAACCAGTTCATCCAGTCAAATTGATACAAAGTTTTCTATCTAAGGAAAACCAGTTCATTACATCGACTCATTGACTCAAATACAATCCCTCACACTAAGCATGCTTGTAGCGACAGTGGAGAGGAAAAACTCCCTTTTAACAGGAAGAAACCTCCAGCAGAACCAGGCTCAGTGTGAGCGGCCATCTGCTGAGGCTGACTGGGGTTCAAGGAGACAGAAGCAGAGATACAAAAAGCAGCTGTAAAAGGCGGCCCCGTCCAGGAAACACACAGCCAGGCAGACAAGCTCCAAGGCAGCTCCCATGCCAGAGGATGAAGAGAGCACATCCACTCAGTCACGGTCAGAGAAACAAGACCACACTGGAAAACAGGCCGATCTCCAACATCTATAAACAAGGGTGTTGATGGAAGCAGCACAGCTGATGTTTCTCTCCAGGATGACGTCACAGCCAAACAGGAACAGACGAGGCAAAGCTACTCTGAGGAAAAGCAGAGAGAGCAGAAGGTTAGAGATTGAACTAACAGATTCTGCAGAATAGGAGAACAGAGAGAGAATGAAGCAGAATGATGAAATGGGGGTCCCTATGTCCTCCAGCAGTCTAAGCCTATAGCAGCATAACTATAGAGATAGCTCAGGATAACCTGAGCCACTCTAACTAGAAGCTTTATCAAAAGGGAAAGTTTTAAGCCTAGCCTTAAAAGTAGACAGGGTGTCTGCCTCACGGACTAAAACTGGTAGTTGGTTCCACAGGAGAGGAGCCTGATAACTAAAAGATCTGCCTCCCATTCTACTTTTAGAAATTCTAGGAACCACTAGTAAACCTGCAGATTGAGAGCGAAGTGCTCTGTTAGGAACATAAGGAACAATCAGATCTCTGATATAAGATGGAGCTTGGCCATTTAAGGTTCACTTCCTGTTTGGATTAACTGAGTGTGCAGCTGTTCAGAGGATCTCCATCTGAAGTTAAGTTATTTTCTCTGTGATACCTCTGTATCTAAGTAACTCTAACTGACTACTTTAAAACATAGCACCTTCTGCTGCACTTTTCTACTGAGCACTTGTCAGTTTCACACGGTTTTATTTCTGATAGCAAGAAGTAGCTAGCCTAGGCTAGCGCTAGCTTAGCATTGCTATGGCTTCTCTCTCTCCCTCCCTTGACTCTTTTCCAACTCTTCCTTCTTCCTCTCCTCTCTCCTGCTCTCTGTGTCAGATGTTCAGTTATTCCTCTGCCTCCTTTAGTGATAATGGGATGTGTAATAAGTGTAGTATTTTTGTAGCTTTGGAGGCGAGGGTGTCAGAGTTAGAATCCAGGCTTCAGGCTGTTGAAGTAGGCCCCCCACGTAGCTGTCCTCCAAAAGTGCCTGAGCAGCCAGGCGATTGGGTAACTGTACGCAGAAAGCGTAGTCGTGGATCTCTGCCCACTGGTCACCACCAACCCGTTCACGTTTCTAACCGGTTTTCCCCACTCAGTGACACACCCACTGAGAAGCCCACTCTGGTGATTGGCAGCTCCATAGTCAGAAACGTGGCATTAGAGACACCAGGGACCATAGTCAAATGTTTGCCGGGGGCCAGAACGGGCGACATCAAATCCTACCTGAAACTACTGGCTAAGGATAAGGTTAAATACAGTAAGATTGTTATTCACGCTGGTGGTAATGACACCCGGTTACGCCGATCGGAGGTCACTAAAATTAGTGTTGCTTCGGTGTGTAAGTTTGCCAAAAAAATGTCGGACTCCGTAATTTTCTCTGGTCCCCTCCCTGATCTGACCAGTGATGACATGTTTAGCCGCATGTCGTCATTCAACCGCTGGTTGTCTAGGTGGTGCCCTGAAAACAACGTGGGCTACATTAATAATTGGCAATCCTTTTGGGGAAAGCCTGGTCTGATTCGGAGAGACGGCATCCATCCCACTTTGGATGGTGCAGCTCTTCTTTCTAGGAATCTGGCCACATTTATTAGTCCTCCAAAACCCTGACCACCCAGGGTGCAGACCAGGAAGCAGAGTTGTAGTTTAACACACATCTCTGCAGCTTCTCTACTGTTACCCACTCTTTACTCCATCCAGACAGTGTCTTGCCCACGACCAAAATCTAATAAATTAGCAAAGATTCCCAAAGGAGTAAATCATGATAATCTAATTAAAATCAAAATAACTCAAATTGGGGAAAAAGTTAAAACAATTAAATGCGGTCTGTTTAACATAAGATCGCTTTCCTCTAAAAGTCTACTAGTTAATGACTTGATTTGTGATAATCACATTGACTTGTTTTGCCTTACAGAAACCTGGCTGCAGCAAGAGGATTATGTGAGCATAAATGAGGCAACTCCTTCAAGCTATTTAAATTTTCACATCCCCAGAAGTTCTGGGCGAGGAGGAGGAGTAGCAACAATCTTCCAGTCTGACTTACTGATTACTCCCAAAACAGTTAATACCTACAACTCTTTTGAACATTTAACCCTTAATTTCCCTGATCCAAATTTCAAGGCAAGAAAACCTCTTCTTTTTGTAACTTTGTATCGTCCACCAGGTCCTTACTCTGAATTTTTAGATGAGTTTTCAGAGTTCCTTTCTGATTTGGTATTAAATACTGACAGGGTCATCATAGTGGGAGATTTTAACATCCATGCTGACATTGAAGGCGATAGCTTAAGAGCAGCCTTTAATGCTATCTTAGACACTATTGGCTTTGTTCAAAATGTGAATAGTCCCACGCATTCTCATCTTCATACTTTGGATCTTGTGCTGACATACGGCATAGAATGTGAAGAAATAACAGTATTTCCTCACAACCCTGTCCTCTCTGACCACTTTCTAATAACCTTCGGGATTACTTTAACAGAGTTCTCCTCCCCCAAAAGAAGGTTCAATTTTAGTAGATCTTTATCAGATAGTGCAGTTATAAATTTTAAAGAATCTGCTTCACTTTCTCTCTCCTCTGTGTCACTGAGCAGTGCTGCAGAGTGCAAAAGTTTAGCTTATTCCCCTTCACAGGTTGATGATTTTGTTGATGGGGTTGCTAGTTCTCTGCGTATTGCCTTAGACAACGCAGCTCCTTTGAAAATGAAAACCGTTAAAAATAGAAAGCTTGCTCCTTGGTTTAATGCAGAGCTGCGTACTTTGAAGCAAAATGCTAGGAAACTGGAGAGAAAATATCGCTCCACAGGCCTGCGAGAGTCCTTCCTAGTCTGGAAAAATGGTTTACTGCTGTATAAGAGGACCCTTTGTAAAGCAAGAGCAGCATACTTCTCCTCATTAATAGAGGAGAATAAGAATAATCCTAGATTTCTTTTTAATACAGTTGCCAAACTCACCCAGAGCCATAGCTCTGTTGAACCGTCCATTCCACCTGCTCTTAGCAGCAATGACTTTATGGGATTCTTTATAAATAAGATTGATCTTATTAAAAATAAGATCATAAGCACTCCTCTATCCGCGATTGTACCTGAGGTAGTCATGGAATCTGAACTGGGTTTAGACTGCTTTGATCCAGTTGAACTCTCTGAATTAGCAAAATTATTGTCTTCATCTAAGCCTTCAACTTGTATGTTAGATCCAGTTCCAACCAGGTTATTTAAGGAGGTATTCCCTTTGATCTCCTCCTCCATTTTAGATGTGATTAATCTATCTCTGTTACAGGGATATGTACCTAAAGCTTTTAAGGTTGCTGTAATTAAACCTCTGCTTAAGAAACCGTCTCTTGACCCAGATGACTTGGTCAATTATAGACCTATATCCAATCTTCCTTTCTTATCCAAAATTCTTGAGAAAGTAGTTGCCAAACAAGTTTGCGATCACTTCCACCATAATGAACTTTTTGAAGAGTTTCAGTCTGGCTTTAGAGCTCATCATAGCACTGAAACAGCTCTGGTGAAAGTCACTAATGATATTCTCATGGCCTCAGATAATGGACTTGTATCTGTGCTCGTCCTGTTGGATCTTAGTGCTGCATTTGATACAGTTGACCATAATATTCTTTTAGAAAGACTTGAATATTTTGTTGGAATTAAAGGAACAGCACTAGACTGGTTTAAATCTTATCTATCTGATCGAATTCAGTTTGTTCATGTTAATGATAGATCTTCAACACGCTCAAAGGTTACCTGTGGAGTACCACAGGGATCAGTGCTAGGACCAATTCTCTTTACTTTATACATGCTCCCAATTGGTAGAATTATTAGACAGCATGGGATTAATTTCCACTGTTATGCTGATGATACCCAGCTATATCTGTCTATAAATCCAGATGAAGCTAACCCATTACATAGATTACAGGCATGTCTTGAAGACATAAAAACCTGGATGACTCTTAACTTTCTGCTTCTGAATGCAGACAAAACAGAAGTTATAGTCTTTGGACCAGAGTCTCTGAAAAAGAAACTGATTAGCCAGTCACTTCATTTGGATGGGATTAAACTGATTTCAGATAATAAAGTAAAAAATCTTGGTGTTGTTTTTGATCAGGACCTGTCATTTAAATCCCACATCAAAGAGGTTTCTAGAATTTCCTTCTTTCATCTGAGGAACATTGCAAAAATTAGAAATATCCTGTCCAGGGGTGATGCTGAGAAACTAGTCCATGCATTTGTTACTTCAAGGCTGGACTATTGTAATTCTTTACTATCAGGAAGTCCACAAACTGTAGTTAAAAGCCTTCAGCTGATCCAAAATGCTGCAGCCAGAGTTCTAATGAAAATGAAAAAGAGAGATCATATCTCGCCTATCCTGGCTTCTCTTCATTGGCTTCCTGTTAAATCAAGAATAGAATTTAAAATCCTCCTTCTCACATATAAAGCCTTAAATGGCCAAGCTCCATCTTATATCAGAGATCTGATTGTTCCTTATGTTCCTAACAGAGCACTTCGCTCTCAATCTGCAGGTTTACTAGTGGTTCCTAGAATTTCTAAAAGTAGAATGGGAGGCAGATCTTTTAGTTATCAGGCTCCTCTCCTGTGGAACCAACTACCAGTTTTAGTCCGTGAGGCAGACACCCTGTCTACTTTTAAGGCTAGGCTTAAAACTTTCCTTTTTGATAAAGCTTATAGTTAGAGATAGCTCAGGTTATCCTGAGCTATCTCTATAGTTATGCTGCTATAGGCTTAGACTTTTGGAGGACATAGGGACCCCCATTTCATCATTCTGCTTCATTCTCTCTCTGTTCTCCTATTCTGCAGAATCTGTTAGTTCAATCTCTAACCTTCTGCTCTCTCTGCTTTTCCTCAGAGTAGCTTTGCCTCGTCTGTTCCTGTTTGGCTGTGACGTCATCCTGGAAAGAAACATCAGCTGTGCTGCTTCCATCAACACCCTTGTTTATAGATGTTGGAGATCGGCCTGTTTTCCAGTGTGGTCCTGTTTCTCTGACCGTGACTGAGTGGATGTGCTTTCTTCGTCCTCTGGCATGGGAGCTGCCTTGGAGCTCGTCTGCCTGGCTGTGTGTTTCCTGGACGGGGCCGCCTTTTACAGCTGCTTTTTGTATCTCTGCTTCTGTCTCCTTGAACCCCAGTCGGCCTCGGCAGATGGCCGCTCACACTGAGCCTGGTTCTGCTGGAGGTTTCTTCCTGTTAAAAGGGAGTTTTTCCTCTCCACTGTCGCTACAAGCATGCTTAGTGTGGGGGATTGTATTTGAGTCAATGAGTCAATGCAATCAACTGGTTTTCCTTAGATAGAAAACTTTGTATCAATTTGATCTGGTTGAACTGTAAAGTGCCTTGAGATGACATGTGTTGTGAATTTGGCGCTATATAAATAAACTGAATTAAATTGAATATGTGAGAAGGAGGATTTTAAATTCTATTCTGGATTTAACAGGAAGCCAATGAAGAGAAGCCAGGATAGGAGAGATATGATCTCTCTTTTTCATTTTCATCAGAACTCTGGCTGCAGCATTTTGGATCAGCTGAAGGCTTTTAACTACAGTTTGAACACTTCCTGATAGTTAAGAATTACAATAGTCCAGCCTTGAAGTAACAAATGCATGGACTAGTTTCTCAGCATCACCCCTGGACAGGAGATTTCTAATTTTTGCAATGTTCCTCAGATGAAAGAAGGAAACCTCTTTGATATGGGATTTAAATGACAGGTCCTGATCAAAAGTAACACCAAGATTTTTTACTTTATTATCTGAAATCAGTTTAATCCCATCCAAATGAAGTGACTGGCTAATCAGCTTCTTTTTCAGAGACTCTGGTCTATGTTAAGAAACAAAAAAAACAACTTTAAACAGAGGGGGTGGGCTCAGGTTTCAGCTTTCAAAAACCTACAATTCAGCGATTGAGTTGATTCCTATGTTATCATGGCAGCCCGCCCGCTTTACAGGGGGAAAGAGGACCCCGCCTCTTCAGCCAGGCCAACAATTCCCTTTAACGACCCCCGTTTCCCAGACATAGACAGGTATGGGGTATTGCAGGCTAACAATAAACCCAAATGAGCCCCAGTCCACAGGGTTGGACCCGTTCGTCCAAAACAAGGCTTTAAAAGGTCATTAAAAATATATATATTTAATTAGTGCCTTAATTGGCATTACATTTCATTAAATGTGATAATCGTGGCATTTAAAATCTTTATTTAAAAAAAAAAAGTTCATAAAAACAATTTCGTCAGATATATTATATCAGATAGAACTTGTTCCAGTTGATTGTATGCTCAGAAAGGAAGCTCGAGGCGGAGAAAAAGAGAATGGGGGGAAAATACAAATTTCAATAAAATTGACTGGAAAATGAGGAATTCAGACATGGCTGCCGCCTGTTGACGGTAAAAATGAAGAAGGATTTTGCCTTGTTTTTATATATATATATATATATATATATATATATATATATATATATATATATATATCCATCCATCCATCCATCTTCCTCTGCTTATCCGGGGTCGGGTCGCGGGGGCAGCAGCTTAAGAAGGGAGGCCCAGACTTCCCTCTCTCCAGCCACTTCTTCTAGCCCCTCAGGAGGAACCCCAAGGCGTTCCCAGGCCAGCCGAGAAACATAGTCTCTCCAGCGTGTCCTGGGTCTCCCCCTGGGCCTCCTCCCAGTGGAACGTGCACCTCACCAGGGAGGCGTCCAGGTGGCATCCTAACCAGATGCCCAAGCCACCTCAACTGGCTCCTCTCGACGTGGAGGAGCAGCGGCTCTACTCCGAGTCCCTCCCGGATGACCGAGCTTCTCACCCTATCTCTAAGGGAGAGCCCAGCCACCCTACGGAGGAAACCCATTTCGGCCGCTTGTATCAGCGATCTCGTTCTTTCGGTCATGACCCAGAGTTCATGACCATAAATGAGGGTAGGAACGTAGATCGACCGGTAAATCGAGAGCTTCGCTTTTTGACTCTCTCTTCACCACGACGGACCGGTACAGCGCCCGCTTCACGGCATCCGCTGCGCCAGTCCGCCTGTCGATCTCCCGCTCCCTTCTTCCCTCATTCGTGAACAAGATCCCGAGATACTTAAACTCCTCCACTATATATATATATATATATATATATATATATATATATATATATGAGAGTCATTAGTACTTGTTGATGGCATCAATTAGTTACTCATTCCTGTGTAAACCCTGTATAAAGCCTCCAACTCACTATTCTAAACGCTATTTCTGACATTTTGAATTGAAAAAGCTTCCTGGATGGGAAGCAAAACATCTTCAATCTTGGAAACAGAGTCCAGTGGATTGTTTTTTAACTTTTTTGGACTTTTATGACCTGGAGGATGACTCAGAATTACTGCTTACCTGATTTTGGAATAGTTCCCAGTACTCACAGAGGACAGAATAGTCAGAGATTTTAGTCAAGTAGGAGTAGTGATACTTTTTAAGAATACTACTAAATAAAAGTAAGAACTACGGCACAGTAAACGGTCTCCTTAAAGTAAATATAACTAATTACTTCCTGCCTCTGTATGTGGATACAGATTTCTAAGGTTTTTTTCATTGAATTTTAGTTGAATTGATCGAATGTTGTTTCCCTTCCTGCAGATGACAGTGATGTTGCCTCTGAAGGAGAAGGATAAACCCATCGTCAAGAAGCTGCTGTCAGCTGGCTGCTGTGCTCGCTGTGTCCTCAGGTTCTGCTGCGTGAGCGTCCAGGCTGCGTATCGACAAGCACATCAGGTACCATTCTGCTGTTTTCTGTTTATTTCTAATGTATCCAGCTTACAAAATCAACATCCAGTGACATTTTTCAAATGTTTCATATTCTACAGGAGACGCTTAAAGAACTACAGGCTTTCATTAAAGAAAAGGAGACCAATGAAGTTCAGGATTCAATGCCTCAAACCTCCACCCATGAGATCCTCAAATCCCATGATGCAGCGTTGTCTATAGATGTTGAAGAGCCTCCCTGTAAAAGAGCTAAGCCGGATCCCACAGAGACTGATGGGTCAGAGTCAGGTTCTGCCGCCCTGGTCTCACCAAAGAACTTGGACCAACGGGTCTGTGTGGTGTGTTTGGGAATCCTTCAGGATTTATGTGGCCCAGCTCAGGCAAAAAAGGTGCACACCTGTCCAAAAATATTCTGTTTTTTAATGAATGCATTTTGCTGTTAGATTTTTTAAAATGCCAGCAGTTGTACGGTTAAAACCCAGCTGTCCACTGGTGTTTTTTCATAGATTGCTGAGACAGTGAAGGCCGAAAACTACCAGTTTGACACGCTGGTCCTGTCCGTCTCTCTGCCTGCGCAGCTCTGTGTGCGTGAGGTCAGTACCTGTGAGACGACGACAACTTCTTTCATCTTGTTCTCCATCATATGTCAATGTCATATTTCTAACCTTGCAGCACTCCTGTTGGCTCCACGTAAAGAAGGAAGTCAGGTAAAGATTTCTCTTGTGTTTAACATGTTGAGAGTCATTGTCTCTAAAGATTTGGTCAGTCAGGGTTGGTTTATCCTCACAGAGAGAAGGGATTAGTGCTGGACAAAGATGATGTCATCCAGGTGAAAGAGGCCTTCAAGTGGATCATACAGGGTTTGGTCGCAAAAGAGCTCGTCGGCGTTGCTGTGGTTGGTAAGGTAGGTCGCATTAAGACACTAAAAGCACAGACTTTGGATATTAAACTCTCAGTGAAATTAAATGTTACATTAACAGGTTTCCCGCGGTTCCTTAAAAAGTCTTAAAAGGCATTGAATTCTTCAAAATAAAACTAAGGCCTTAATTGGTATTAAAATGTCTTCAATCAGTCTTTAGTTTAAAACATAAATAGGATAATTTTTATTACGATTTATTTTTGTAATCTAAATAAAACATTAAAATTGACTAATTGTTTTAATTTAAAAAAATAACGCTCGCCATTATTGGTTCCGTCCCGATAGCGGAACCAATAAAGCGTTGTTGCGGCCGGGACATTTGGGAGATGCGCCATTAACTTTTTGTCTGGAAAATATGAGCAAGTGTAAATGTAACCAAAATTGTCTCCAGCCAAGAGTTTTCTCCATGGCTAAAACCAGGGAACATACATGAGGCTCAGTGGATTTTGTTCAAGAAGTCATTCAAGCTCAGAACGATGGGAATTAAGGCAGTGGAGTCACACATGCGAAGCACGAAACACAAAGCGTCAAAATGGAGTTACAGAGAAACAGCCGGTATTTCTCAGTTTAGTTCCACCCTTGTCTCTGCAACGCCTCCACTTATCACCAAATCAAACATACTAAGAAAACCATACAAAGAAAAATAGCTGCAAAAAAGACTTAGCACTGGTTATGTTGGGGCTTTAAAACTGATTTGTTTTGTTCCCTGCTAAAACAAAGTTTGTGAATTCAGTTAAATAATTGTTAAATTATATCTGTCATTTGTGTGTTTTTAGCTTTCTTCCTGTATGGGAAGCTTTTCAAAATTTGAAACATCAGTGCAGTGGTTTATGTTAAAATAAACCTTTGGGTTAAGTTGTCGCAAGCAGGTTTTTCTTGTGAATTTGGTCTTAAATTTTTATTTCAAGTGGCATTAAAAAGTCTTAAATTTAACTTGCCTTATGCTGTAGGAACCCTGATTAAACTTGCATACCTGCTGAAACACAATACAAAACAAATGACAAAAAAAGAAAAGAAATTCACAACATTCCTTCCAAACGATCTGGAGTTTTCCCATAAAAGATAAATATAATCTTTGCAAAAGTGATTTTTCACTTTATGACCAAAAACTTAAATATGTCAATAAATGTACACAAATTGGTGCGTAATTTTGACCTGAAAAGAAACAAGTTATCAACAGCTTTCATGACAGAAAAGGGAGAGAAAACTGTAGCATGTATTTGTATTTAGACAATATGGAATCCAAACCACTAACCCCACCAGATGTCCCATTTGCAGTCTGTCACATGCAAACACTGCTTAGGTCACTTGATCTGATCAAAATGTCCGCTTTGGCCTCCATGCAAAACGTGAGAGTCGAACACACTACCTAAATATATCATGCCTTTTTTCATGCATGGTGGTGGCAGCATTATGCTGAGGGTTTATGGAGCTGAAAGCAGGGTCATCCTGAGAGAAAGTTTGTTTGTTATCTTGGCATCAGAGTGAGGACCATATCTCTGATTTCACCATCAAACTGAGGAGCGTTTGTACCAAACCAAGGACGTCCGGCTCGTCCTTAGTGTTATTTTTACTGACTTCTAGATTTAGGACTAAAATGACTCGAGTTATGTTTAACTTTGATCACTTTGAGGTGAACTGCTCCCAGCAAGTAAACTGTGCACTCGGGTTCGGCCGCTCACATTCGTTACAGTTTGCCAGCAAGTATACAGGCCCACTAATGCTGACCAAACGAAACATTTGACCAACCAGTTACAAAGAGAAGCGGCGACCTCTGAGCTCCTGAGCCTGACAGATGTAGCATATCTGTAAAAAAACAACAGCATACTATATTTTAAATGAATGCAAATTGATCATAACCAATAAGGTCAATAGGCTAGTTCTCAGAAGATAGATACGACTCATGAAACAGCAGACAGAGACTACTGAAACATCCAAATGGCCATATAAAATGTGCAAAAGAGAAAAAAAAACCCAAAACGATAAAGAGGAAAAAAAAACTAAATTAATCAATTCCACAATTAATGAAACCACATTCCAGGACCGTTTTCTTAATATATATATAGTCAAAATCATTCTAATGTGCACACAAATTCAGTAAGTGGTACTCTTTGCACTACAGATAATTCCAAACAATTTTTAATCAATATGCACATTCAATAAATATAAAGTTCCATATAAATTACATTCATGAAAAATCCAATAAATATGCACTAAATAAATTAGTTAACATGAAATGTAAAAAACTACTAATACAAACAAGTGCTCAATAAAAATCTAAGGCACCTCATTGTTCACATTTAGGTTCTTCAAAGCTAGTCTGGGCATCTGTTTGAATAATCAGCAATTTAGCAGCTAGACAACAAACAAAGACATCAATGAGCTAAAATTAAGCCACATAGGAGAAACACTCACCAATTCCATAGTTTGTATGTTACACAAACAGCTTTTTTCATGTCATCTCGGCTAAGTAGTTTGCTCCTGGAGCTCTGCTTCTCCCAACATGCCATAATGTTTCAAACTTCCCCACTCCAACTAATATACCTAGCTGATAGGCTGTTGTACATGTGACCCTGATACTCAACAGCAATTGGCTGTGTAGTAATGAGGGGATGGAAGTGAAAAAAATACACAGATATGATCACTGGGATCTTTCTCCATTATCTAAACATGTAACTGGAAAATCACTGGGATTTACACCCGGGTTACACCGACATTTCCCCTCATATTGCTTCTATTTGGTTGTTTATTTCTGAGATGTAACACTGATAAGAAGCCATTTCTATTCTCAGAACTTGCTATTATTAGTTCTACGACAGCCTGAACACCTAAATTCTGCCAATCATATATCTACAGTCATCTGTCAATCACATTTTTTCGGTCATAGCATCTTGATTCATATGTCACAGCTTTATATGTTGAAAGGCCCCGATTCCTACCAAAACTTTATAAAAAAAAAAAAAAAAGACTTATATGTGTAACTTTTTGTAGGTACTGTTTGAATGAATATTTTGCAAATCAAGAGACCTTTATTTACCAGTAGAAAATGGTAAGCAGGGACTATTATAACCTGACTCCGCCAGATGGATTTGCTCCACATATCCATCTGGAAACCTTCTTTTAGAAGTAATTTTGGGAAGGGGCGAAAATACTGGTTAGCTGATTGGTCTATGTTGGTGATAGACGGGCCATATAAACCAATCAGATCAACGAAGCATATGACGTACTAACAGAGCGACGACGAAGAGGAGCCAATTGACAGATCAAACTCTTGCCGAAACCAGTCGTGAGAAGAGCAAAAGCATCTTTTCCTCTGAGAAAAGCCTCCAGAGCAGTGTTTTGCTCTTCTTTCAGTGAAGAAATACTCTGTAATTCAGATAAAACTTGCTCGATAGCCACGCTAACGCTAGTTTCATCGGCTGAAGCCGCCATGTTCTTTAGACTGAACTGTGGCGCTTCTCGTTGCGTCGCACCTCAACCCGCCTCAAAGCCAACGCTGATTGGACGTTCGTTTGGTGAACGGCTCCAAACTTTCTTCAACGGAGAGTCTCCAGACTGATTAGCGAGTGAAACCTTGAAAGTTCGCGATATCAGGATGGTCTCATGAGGCTAGGACTATTAGGCATGAAGAGCAAATCCTCCTCTGTCATCACTTTCTGTTCTGCTCTCATTGGTCCTTCATTTTGTTTCAGAGCCCATTTGAGGTTGGCGTGGAGTTCATCCACCCAGAGACGGAGTCCGACTGCCACTTCCTGTGAGTCCTAAACTAGCTCCAGAAATGTTCACACCTCTCGAGCAGGATGTAGGAATGGAGGCAAAGCCACTGACGCATGAACCATAGAAATTACCAATTGAATCGAGGATCAGAAATTAGTCTCTGTGGAGTTAATTTTAGTTGAAGACAGAATCATGATTATTCCAAACTTAAAAAAGCTTTTAAAACAAAATAGTTTTCAGATCTTAATGCTAATCTGCCAGCTGTTTTCTCTTTACCATCCAGAGCTAAATCCTGTTCTGATTGCTTTAAACCCACCAAGAACAAACAGGTAGAGTTTTCCCAGACCACCAGACGAGTCCAGCATCTTTACTAGAAATGGTTCTGATTCTGGGTTTGGCTCATCTTCACCTCCCTCCCTCTGTAGTCGGTGTTCACCCGCATGGCCGTGGTCAAAGCTCTGGAAAAGATCTCTGACGCTGCGTTTCTACAGTAAGTAGCTGTTTCCTGGAAGTCTGTGAGTCACCTACCTGAAGGATGTTTGTGCTGTTACTATTTAAAAGATATTAATGAAACCTCAGAAAATAGCCAAAGGGTCAACTAGCCGCCCCGCCTTCTTCATAACGAAGGAATGTGGTGTCAATTCGGCCATGTTTGTGCAGCAAAAAATGGTCTGTAATGCTTTTGTTTTAATGTAATTAAGAAAAGGTCAAAAGGTTAACCAGACCCAAAATTAAACAAAAATAAATCACAGTGGTGTCAAATGTTTGCTTTGTGTTTAGGGCTAAAATAATTAATCGGATTAATCAATGATTGAAATAATTGTCAATTAATTTAGTAATCAGTAGGGATGCACGATATTGGGATTTTGGCCGATATCCGATATGCCGATGTTTTAAAACTCATGTAGCCGATAACCGATATCGATACCGATGTTAAAGCTGGACAAAATAAGTAGTCATTGAAAATAGCAGTTTGTTATCCATTTCTGGCACTTTGAAAAATAATATACTCAAATATATTTTCATATGCTGATATCAAATTGATTTTTAAAAACGCGGTATCGATCTATTTTACTTTCAAAATCTCGTGAAATTTCATCGTTCTGTTACAAACTCTCATGATATTTTGCAAATTCTTGTGAGATTTTGTTAGTAAAATAGATCGATACCGCGTCAATATATCAAGATATAAAAATATGGCAACATTTCTTGAATTTTCGGGGGATTTCGTAGCATAACGATGACATATAGCAATATTTTATTAGTGAAAGAGATTGATTTGGTGTTTTTAAATGGCAATATATCAGCATATGAAGATATTGTGATATTTTAATGTATCAATGTTTTTTCCCTCGTCTTTAGAAGTTTTAAGTCTGTAAAAAATAAGTTTTTGAGGAAGAAGAAGAAGTAGTATTTTTTTTTTTTTTTAGACTTTAGAAACTCAGAAGCTGATCAAATATCCAGTTAAATGTCGTTGGGGTGGCCGATGTCCGATATTCAGTTTTAAGGCCGATACCGATAGGGGGCCGATTATATCGTGCATCCCTAGTAATTAGTTAACTATTAAATGGAATATAGAGACTGTAAAACATGCCATTCGCTGACGGAGCGACCAAATTAGAGCAGTAATTATATAGAAAATGTAAGAAGAAAATATAAGATTAAAGATTAAAAAGATTTTTTTTTTTTTTTTTTTAAGTCAGTCTGCTCTATTCAGAAGTCCTCAGGTGGAAAAGTTTGAGTTTCACCTATTTTCATTTCTTAAACATCTTCTTTAAGGAATCTGTCTGTCTGTCGATTTATAGGTAGATTTTTTGCCTTGGGCCCTACAGACACATATATACATACATACACTGTGTGAATACAAAATGACAATAAAAGCTGTTTACGTTTAAGTCTAAAAGCTTTTTGTTTACTTTAGCAGCTGTGAACCGATTGCAGCACAAACAAAACATTTTTGCTGCACAACATTGCCACAAAGTATCGACACCATTTTGGTTTAATTAGTTTTTTGACTTGTAGGTTGACCGTATGACCTTTGAACTTTCATCAATAACCTTAAAACAAAAGCAGTACAAACAGTGTTTTGCAAAACAAATGTGATTTAAATTGATTAATGAAAATGTTGATTTGAAGAAGTCGTGTGTTTTTAAAATGATAGTGGCCGAACAACATTTTATGCTACTCAAACATTTTACACTTTAGTTTGATTTTGTTATTGTGGGGGTCGGTGGTTGACCTTATGACCTTTAAAATTCAGTTAATAACTTTAAAATTAAAGCAGCTTTGATCAAAACTTTTTCTGCACAAACATAACTTTATTGGCTGACACCGATTTAGTTTGACTTAAAGAAAGGGGCGGAGCAAAAGTTTATTCAACTATTGTCACCCATTCCAGGTAACAATAAAAGGTTCTACTGGATTCACTTTGTTTTAGTCTTTTTCCTGCTTCACAAAGGTAGACAGCAGCTTAACAAGCCATGATGGCAATTATTCTACATCCAAGTAGTATGCAGTTCCTCATATATATACACACATCAATTTTAAAGAGGTGGCATCAGTATGGTTCTCAGTATCAGCCACTACAGCACAGCCAGGTATCGGGTATCGGCATCGGCGCAACACTATCATAAATTAGGCTTATCAGCTATGTTTGTTATGTTTCTTCCATTTCTCCAGACATTACCCCTGTCCTCCATTAGAGGCGAGCAGCGGCTGCACGCCTCAGGACATCCAGTGCCTTCACGTGTCTGTCTTCATAGCAGGTAAGGCACCACCATTGGAAACTTTTATTTCCGTCTTTATTTTCTACTCAGAAAGTTAAATAAGCCCCCCCCCCCCCATGTTTAGGGAGGTATAACAAGTTCTGCCGCAGCCTGCCACAGACTCCCTGGGTGATCGATGGAGAGAGGAGGATGGAGTCGTCTGTAGAGGAGCTGATCGCTGCTCCGATCCTCTCTGCCTTCAGAGCTGACGGTGAGTCCACTTTAACCCACAACTCGCCGGATGATGCGTCCAATCAGAGCTCTGTTTGTTTATTGTTTATTGGAGTCGCAACCAAATCAAAGGGCTTCCGTAATAATATTGCCGAACTTTTCTTGTTCCAAATCTTTATTCATCAGACTTTTTATGTCGCAAGTGTCTTTAGGGAGAGTTTTCTAAACAAATGGACCAGAAATAAAATAAAAAAGTTTTTTCTTAATTCAGAATCATTGATTGGATGTGGTAATATTGGTAATATTGACTGAATGCTTTAAATTAGAGCTCAACCTCTATAGTTTATTTAGACCAGTGGCTCTCAACCTTTTTGAGTCTTGACCTCCCATTAAAAATGCACTGCTGTCAAGGCAGTGTGGTCTCTTGACTGAATCATAAGACCGAGTGAAGCATCTTAGTTCTACAGTGTTTCATATGAACACACATTAATTTTATAATCATTGAATAAACCTAACATCAGCTGTTACCCTGAGATTCAATATCATCCGTCACCAGACCGCCGCGCTCAAGTACGTCGTGCGGAGAACTTGCGCAGTCATGTTCATCAATGGGAACTGTTCCACCTCCACCGCTACTCCTCCGCACGTCACCGTCCACGTACGTCTTCTCCGCACTTCACCGTCAAAATACGGAGCAAATCTATTTTCTCCTCCAGTCTGATGGAAGCCGACCAGGTCAAGGTCTGCAGTTCGCACCAAACAGGAAAAAGGACGTTGAGAAGATCCAGTTTGTCAAAGTAAAATAGGGTAACGGCAGAATAGTAACCACTGATTAGAGCATTAATAATAAGAAGAATTGGATGCAAACTATTGGTACTTAAACAGAGAAGGAAGCAGCTTTGTCATCTTGATCAAAATATTTATTTTATGCTGAAAGGTTTAAACAGTTCGTCAAATCCAGTCGCAACTTCCAAGAGCGCATCTAAGAACTTCCAAAGAAACTTCATACTGCAGGGACGGATGAAGAGCTGCTGATTTTGGAAGAAGAGAACCAACCGACTTTGATCTTATTTATCTCTATTACAAAGATCCACAATGAAAAGAAAATTTGGGGAACAGACTGCACATATGCTTGAAGCTGGTGGTGATTTTTTTTTTTTGTTATATGTACCTATGAATTAACAAATAAAGATATCGCACATGTTTTCCTCCAGCTCCAAGGAACTCAGAGTGGAGCAAGACGGTAGGAACTGCAGAGGCTGTAAGTGTTGCTTTGTGCAGACGGTCTGGAATGGGGCGGGGCTTAGCGGGGCGGTTATAGAGGATGTGGGATTTGGGGTTAATTTCTTTATCATCTGATTTTGAAACACTCTGGGATTTCTTGAAAAACATAAAACGGCATCAAGAGGCTAATTTCCCAAACAGAGCGACGGCGGTCGCTGCATCCCATCATTCTGTGGTTAAAATGTAAACTAAAGCCAAATAAATGGTATTTTTAATGGAATAAAACGATAACAGCGTGTGCTAAACTTTAAACTTTATTCTTGGAGCTTAAACATGAAAATAACTTCCTGGTCAAAGGCAGATGTTTCCGCAGAGGCTGTTTGTTTGAACACAGCAGCTTTATGTTAGAAACAGCAAAACTCTGAGGAGTCGAGATCTGTGGTACTTTTTCTTGTATTTCGGGGCAGTAAATGTCTTTTCACAATGGAAACTTATCCAGGATTATTTGAGTCTGTTTTTTTTTTCTTTTTAAGTGGAGCTGTCATGTCTCCATTAGAGCTGAACCTGCTGTTAGATTCAGACGGAGGATAAACATGACAAAGAAAGCCAGACCGTACCCAGCTATAGGTCCAATTCAATTCAGTTTATTTCTATAGCTCCAATTCACAACACATGTCATCTCAAGGCTCTTTACAGTTCACCAGATCATCCAGTCAAATTGATTAAAAGTTTTCTTTCTAAGGAAAACCAGCTGATTGCATCGACTCATTGACTCTTCAGCAATCCCTCACACTAAGCATGCTTGTAGCGACAGTGGAGAGGAAAAACTCCCTTTGAACAGGAAGAAACCTCCAGCAGAACCAGGCTCAGTGTGAGCGACCATCTTCTGAGGCCCACTGGGGTTCAAGGAGACAGAAGCAGAGATACAAAAAGCAGCTGTAAAAGGCGGCCCCGTCCAGGAAACACGCAGCCAGGCAGACAAGCTCCAAGGCAGCTCCCATGTCAGAGGATGAAGAGAGCACATCCAGTTAGTCACGGTCAGAGAAACAGGACTACACTGGAAAAAAGGCAGATCTCCAGCATCTAGAAACAAAGGTGTTGATGGCAGCAGCACAGCTGATATTTCTCTCCAGGATGGAGTCACAGCCAAACAGGAACAGACCAGATGAAGCTACTATGAGAAAAAGCAGAGAGAGCAGAACGTTAGAAATTGAACTAACAGATTCTGCAGAGTGGGAGAATAGAGATAGAATGATTAAAAAGGGGTCCCTATGTCCTCCAGCAGTCTAAGCCTATAGCAGCAGAACTATAGAGATAGCTCTGGATAACCTGAGCCACTCTAACTATAAGCTTTATCAAAAAGGAAAGTTTTAAGCCTAGCCTTAAAAGTAGACAGGGTGTCTGCCTCACGGACTAAAACTGGTAGTTGGTTCCACAGGAGAGGAGCCTGAGAACTAAAAGATCTGCCTCCCATTCTACTTTTAGAAATTCTAGGAACCACTAGTAAACCTGCAGATTGAGAGCAGAGTGCTCTGTTAGGAACATAAGGAACAATCACATCTTAATGATAATTAAATTCCACACAGTCCTGCTCAGTGTGGAATTTAAGTCTGTAATTAGTTCAAATATCAAAAGACAGGAGCGATCCAAATAAAACGGTGTGATCAGAAAAAATAACAAACTGTCTTTTTATTGCAGGATTTAATTTCTCCTCCTCGGGCAGAGAGGATGTGGATGTCAGAACTCTGGGAAACGGTGAGTTTCTTCTGCTTTATTGGATGGTTTTATTAACTCAGGTGATCCACACTGCTGAATGAAATGTTATTATTTCATGATTTAACTAAAACAAAAATCTGTTTCTGTTAATAATGATCTCTTTTTGGACAATTGCCTACATTTTCCTGCGAATTAACTTTAGCTCTGCATCTGAGCTACTGTAGGAGCCTTACTAGTATTATTGGGTTTTTATACATCAGGTGATACGCATCATCAGGACCTGCTTGGTGGGCGTGTCCCTCTGGGCGTGTCCGGCCGCAGTCATCACTTCTATTGACAGCAACCGAGTATTATTTGTGCAGGCTGTTTGTAGCTTATCGTTTTATTCTTCGATTGGATGTGGATATCAATCTACTGAAGTAAACAATATCGCTACTGACAGAAGTGTTTTTCAGGCTCTCTAGGAACGTGTGTCTGACAGACGGACAGTTTAGCCCACAGCGATTCTCAGTTTGCCGCAATAACTTATTTTTTTTATGGGGCTGTTTTTTTAAACATTCATTCTAACTTTAACTTGATTTAAAGGAAATCTAACAGATACTATTCAAAGTAAGTAGGTCACCAGGTGACTTTGAACTCATCAGTGTTGGTTAGATGCTTAGAACAGATCAATATGTAGATGCACCATTTTATCCAACTGAATAAAAACTAAATTGTGATAATAATCTTTGGAACAAAGGAGGAGAGATCCAACGTGAGCTCAAAGCTTCAGCTACCACAGCTACAAACCACTAAAATATTTGTGTCATGATGAACTCAGACCTGAACCTTCAGAGGCTCATAAAGGCAGTTACTAAATCAGCCTGAAGAAGATTTCCAGGATTAAAGGATTAATGTCCAAGCAGGATTTACAAAAACTCATTCATGCATTTATCTGTAGTATAACTGATCACTGCAACGGTGTCTTCATAGGTTTTTTCTAAAAAGTCCATCAGACACCAGCAGCTGATCCAAAACGCTGCTGCCCGTGTTCTCGTTAGAGCTAAGAAGATAGAGAACATCAGCCCGGTTCTGAAGTCCTTTCACTGGCTCCCTGTAGCTCAGAGAAGGGAGAGAGGGCCGCAGTCCGGATCCGGACCCACCTGCTGGCTAATCCAGAACCAACCTGATTTAAAACATTCAGAATTTACCGCATGTTGCCCGACGGCAGTGTCTAACTTCACTTGCGCCTCTTCTCCTGTTAATACGGTAAAGCCCTCCGGAGCGTCCGGCTCCAGGCTGCACGTGATCCAAATGAGCCAATGAGCTGTCAGTCTGGGTTGCTGCTTCTGCTACTTTTAGACACAGCAGGCAAACCTGTGGCAAGCCGGGCGATGGGAAAGAAGGAGAAGACGATGAGAAAAAGAGAGCAGAGAAAGTGTGGACTGCTGGAAGAACTGCGGTGAACTGGTGAAAGAAAAGTGAAAACAATTCATCTTTCAAAACGATTTTATCATCCGTGTTAACGGACAGTTGCAGCTGTTTCTCTATAGCCATTTTTGGGTTGTCTGTTGTGTTTTAAATTGTATTTTATGTACGTATTACGAAGTTATTTTATTTATTTTAGCCCTACTTCCCTTTTCCTAAGTGGTTAATCCACTTGCCTTTAAAAATAAAGGTTATTATCAAAGGTTACTGAAGCTGTTCAAAGCATAACTTTATGCTTTGTCATAATAATCTTATTTTCCTGATGGACTTGAACCAATATTAAAGAGGACCATGCTGCCCTTTCAAAATAAAGTTTAGACTTTACTTTTGAAATAAAATGTTTAAAATTTACTATAAAAAGACTGGCTGTTAAATTCCTCATGGACCCAAAGCAGTGATGACCACAGATTTATTTTGGCATTCATAATGGATGAGCTTCAAAGAAGACTAAATGTGTGAAAGCTTTGTTATCTATAATGGATCATGGTTAGTTGTTGGCTGTTTATTTACAGGTGATAAAATAGTTTCCCCCTCTAAGCGTCTACTGGCATTCCCATCCTCCCTTCTTCATGTTTTTATAGATGTGTTTTTATTTTGCAGGACGTCCGTTTGCCATGGAGCTGCTGAATCCACACAGATGCCGGTTCAGCAAAGCGGAGATGAAGCAGCTTCAGGAGGTGATTAATGTCCCATAATTTAGTTTTACAGAAAAATATCTTATTTTTTCTTTACATTAGGCATCAGGCAGGCATTCTGCTGTCTACCTCCACAAGGATATCCAGTCTGCAAAAATACCTTTAAATCTACAAGTGTGGGGAAAAAAATCAAGCTTTTACAGATGATCTGAAACATTGAAGAGATTACCTGAATACTTGGAGGGGATTTTAAGTTCTTTGTCGCTTTCTAAGAAGCTGTGTGTGTGTGTGTATGTATGCATGTATATATATCTATATACAGGTGCTGGTCATAAAATTAGAATATCATGAAAAAGTAGATTGATTTCAGTAATTCCATTTAAAAAGTGAAACTTGTATATTATATTCATACATTACATACAAACTCATATATTTCAGATGTTTATTTTGTTTAATTTTGATGATTACAAATGACAACAAATGAAAATCTCAAATTCATCATATCAGAAAATTAGAATATTGTGAAAAGGTTCAAAATTGATGGCCCCTGGTGCCACACTCTAATCAGCTAATTAACTCAAACCACCTGCAAAAGCCTTTAAATGGTCTTTCAGTCTAGTTCTATAGGCTACACAATCATGGGGAAGACTGCTGACTTGACAGTTGTCCAAAAGACGACCATCGACACCTTGCACAAGGAGGGCAAGACACAAAAGGTCATCGCTAAAGAGGCTGGCTGTTCACAGAGCTCAGTGTCCAAGCACATTAATAGAGAGGCGAAGGGAAGGAAAAGATGTGGTCGAAAAAAGTGTACAAGCAAGAGAGATAACCGCACCCTGGAGAGGATTGTGAAACAAAACCCATTCAAAAATGTGGGGGAGATTCACAAAGAGTGGACTGCAGCTGGAGTGAGTGCTTCAAGAACCACCACACACAGACGTATGAAAGACATGGGTTTCTGCTGTCGCATTCCTTGTGTCAAGCCACTCTTGAACCACAGACAGCGTCAGAAGCGTCTTGCCTGGGCTAAAGAGAAACAGGACTGGACTGCTGGTGAGTGGTCCAAAGTCATGTTCTCTGATGAAAGTAAATTTTGCATTTCCTTTGGAAATCAAGGTCCCAGAGTCTGGAGGAAAAGAAGAGAGGCACTTCATCCACGTTGCTTGAAGTCCAGTGTAAAGTTTCCACAGTCAGTGATGGTTTGGGGTGCCATGTCATCTGCTGGTGTTGGTCCATTGTGTTTTCTGAGGTCCAGGGTCAACGCAGCCACATACCAGGAAGTTTTAGAGCACTTCATGCTTCCTGCAGCTGACCAACTTTTTGGAGATGCAGATTTCATTTTCCAACAGGACTTGGCACCTGCACACAGTGCCAAAGCTACCAGTACCTGGTTGAAGGACCATGGTATTCCTGTTCTTAATTGGCCAGCAAACTCTCCTGACCTTAACCCCATAGAAAATCTATGGGGTATTGTGAAGAAGAAGATGCAATACACCAGACCCAACAATTCAGAAGAGCTAAAAGCCACTATTAGAGCAACCTGGGCTATCATAACACCTGAGCAGTGCCACAGACTGATCGACTCCATGCCACGCCGCATTGCTGCAGTAATACAGGCCAAAGGAGGCCCAACTAAATACTGAGTGCTGTACATGCTCATACTTTTCATGTTCATACTTTTCAGTTGGCCAACATTTCTATAAATCCTTTGTTTTTATTGGTCTTCAGTAATATTCTAATTTTCTGATATGATGAATTTGAGATTTTCATTTGTTGTCATTTGTAATCATCAAAATTAAACAAAATAAACATCTGAAATATATGAGTTTGTATGTAATGTATGAATATAATATACAAGTTTCACTTTTTAAATGGAATTACTGAAATCAATCTATTTTTTCATGATATTCTAATTTTATGACCAGCACCTGTATATATATATATGTATATGTGTGTGGGTGTTAATTAATCTGTCGATTATTTTTGCGATTAATCAAAATTCAAAATTAAACCAGGTGAAACTTAAATGTTTTTTTTTTTCCATTTGTGGAGCTCTGGATAGCGCATATTGACAGAGAAAATGTTTTTTTTTATTTTGTTTTACTTAAAAACAAGATATTTTTAATTTTCTTACAATTTTAGTAGAAGCACTGCTCTAAGTGGGTCACTCTGTCAGCTAAAGGAACGTTCTAGAGTCTCAAGTTAATGAATCATCAATTACTAAATTAGCTGGCAATTATTTCAGTAATGGATTAAGCACATTTAATCCAATTAATTGTTTCAGCCCCAAATAAATATATATATATATATATATATATATATATATATATATATAAATTATTATTGGTTTTATTTTAATTTCAGGGAAGTTTGGTGGTTTGTTTTTAAATCAAAGTTTGTTCAACAGCTTAAACAGTTATAAACGTTCACTTGTATCTTTATAATTCTTTAAAAATGATTTTTATGTTGATGTAAGATTAGGCCTAATGTTATAATTTTTATTTTCTTCCTCCTTTACATGACAGATTTACCATTTAAACAAACAAAAACAAAAACTTTTAACAAAACATTTACAATTAATAGCAACGACAGAGCTAATTTAGGACCATAAAGTTTGTTCAACAACATAGAAAACAAAAAAAAACAAAAAACTGCAAAGCCTAATTGAAAATAAATATTTGAGGCAACTTTTCGGGTTCAACATCTTTTTTTCAGTTGCAAGCTGCTGGCCCCTCAGCGTAGGGCCCCCCAAAAAATTCCCAGCTGTTGCGTTCAGGAACTACTAATCTATTTAAAGCATAGTGGCCTGTGTCAGACATTTTGTTTTATTTTCAGTTTAGAAAAGTCTTTATTTTTAATTTTTTTTCTGTTCAAAACACTTTTGTTAAGATCCAAATCTTGTGTTTACTATTTCAAAAATACTTTTCAGTTTTAAACTTTTTTTTTTTGTGTGTGTTAATTTTCAAATGATTTTCCCCTTTCAAATATCTACAGTTTAAACAAAATGAGGTTTTTAACAAACTTTGTGGCCCCAATTAGGCTCCATAGAAATGTAGCGGTGCAACAATGTATGAAAGTATTATCTATCTCTAATCTCTATATGGGAGATTTTGTGCAAATCTCTGTTAATCTGAACTTGTTTGACTGTCGATCTGCCTGCAGACCATAAACGAGTCCTCAGAGAAAGTCAAAGTGAGAGACCTGCAGATCGTAACCAGGTAAGGAAACGGATTCTTCTCTTTCTCCTTTTTTTATGCCGAACTTTTAATAAAAATTGAAAAGAAATCGGCTCCATTCTGTAAACTGCAGAGAGGCCATGAGTCGGATGAAGGAGGGAGAAGAAGAAAAGACCAAGTCGTACACGGCACTCGTCTGGACCCAGAAGGCCATCGAGAAAGAAGACATCGCCTTTATTGACGACATCAAGGTGAGTCCAGCTGTTGGTCTGTCGGTGCTGGTTGAGGCTCTGATGTTTGCAGTGTTTATCTCATGGAGGTTTCATTTTTATGTGCAGGCACAGATTAATGAAACAGTAAAGGAACCAGGTCCATAAAAAGAATATATTTAGTTATAAATGAGGTAACATAGAGAGACATACAGTCATTAATTATCCAACTGAAGTCTTGTTGGTTTCACTTTTTATCTACAAAGCTGGTTCTCTGATTTGGAACTAAAACCATTAAACAATAATTTCATTTTTATAGGGGATTTTTATAGTTGGATTAAAGACCTGTTAATTTTTAATATATTAATATCTTGCCTGCTGTAAAAAACGCTCAGCGTCTTCAGTTAGTATAAATCTAGCTGCTATAAAGGGAGCGCAGAACAAAGTTAACTTCTAGCATCTTAAAACCTCTTCAGTCTTAGTGAGGAATTGGAGCAGTTTATGCTAACGTTTTTTTTACAGTTATTTACACAGGAGGTTAGTTTTTATGTCTAAAATGGAAGCAGTGCAGCTAAATTTATATTTATATGTGTGTGTATGTGTGTATATATATGTGTGTGTATATATATGTGTGTGTGTGTGTGTGTATATATATGTGTGTATATACACTATATTGCCAAAAGTATTTGCTCACCTGCCTTGACTCACATATGAGCTTAAGTGACATCCCGTTCCTAATCCATAGGGTTCAATATGACGTCGGTCCACCCTTTGCAGCTAGAACAGCTTCAACTCTTCTGGGAAGGCTGTCCACAAGGTTTAGGAGTGTGTTTATGGGAATTTTTGACCATTCTTCCAGAAGCGCATTTGTGAGGTCGCACACTGATGTTGGACGAGAAGGCCTGGCTCTCAGTCTCCGCTCTAATTCATCCCAAAGGTGTTCTATCGGGTTGAGGTCA